CATACCCAAAGTTTTTTGTCCTGCGGAAGACATGAAGGCTGCGCGACAAGGGGTATGTAACAGGCTGTCGTTTCAAGGGGTATGTAACAGAGGGCTTGTGGCGCGAAACGCGACAACCCCCCTTTTCGGCACACCCCCATATAAGTATATGGGCTATAGTCTAAACTGCTTGAAGGAGATTATATATACTACGAAAGGTTTTATGAAGAGGGAACTATAGGTCACATGGGGTTTGGAGTTATATATTTGCATGGACACTTTGGCGCTAGGACTCTATCTAACACCATCCTGGGATGGCAATCAGGGTTTGGGAGTTAGGTTTTAGGGTTGTAGGGCTTTGGGTTTAGGACCTCAGGAACCCTCGACCCTAAACCCTCCCAGTGGATCCTAGTACCCAATTACTTGGTATTTGGGATACTAACGAGTCTTGTACGGGTTTAGCGTAAGTATATGGCTGGCAGGTACTTACCTGTAGGGCTTAGTTGAGGCAAGCAGTGGATGAAAGCCGGGGAGCTCTTCCGAAATGGCGCCCTGGCTTGTGGATTCAGAGTGTATCTAGACCCTCTAATGTAGTACTTTTTGGTAGTCCTAGTATCAACCCTATTCCAAAAACACACCAAACCCAAAAAGGAATTAAATTGGAGGGTCCAGGGAAAGTTTACGGTTTGCGGCTTTGTGGTGTAGGGTGGCCTAGGATGGCTCAGGGTTGCGCTGGCTGATCATGGTGGAGGGTTCCCGTTTCAGCGCAAGGCTCGCACATGGGATTGGCTGTTTGTAGGGATTGGAGGAATGGATCTCTGTAGTAGGTAGTTCCTATATGGCCTCCCAACATTTAAATGGTTTCCATTGTCTTTTCCATTCCCTAAGCCCCGAACTCTTAACCCTAAACAACAAACGAATCGCTTCCGTTGTGTTGCCATTCCTCCATTGTCCACTTGAGGGTTCACCCCATTTAAGTCCCCAATATAGTTTTTTGTTATAAGTACCAGCTATAGCTGGCTTAGCATTACTTTGCACCTAGACATGCTAACAACCACCGAGATAATCGGTCAAAACAAGCCTTGATCAGCTGCCAGGTAGTGCGTTTCTGCATTTTACGCTTTCATATGAGCTATAGTCGAAACTCCTTAAAAAGGGGGCTATATAAGGGATTGTACTGTAGGATTTTGGCGTCTAAATGGGGGTCCCCCAAGTCGTCTGAAACTAGCATGTAGGCTCAGGGTTTGGGCTGTCTTTGGGCGCAAAATTTCGCACATTCAAATTACAGGGGTGTCGGACAAATTTCAGGGCTTGGGATCTATGTGCATGGCTGCTGCATGCTCATGAACTCAACTTGGCTCAACTTGTCAGCCAGATCATTGCATGGTTCAGGTTTTCAGGGTGTACCCAAACCCCAAAGGTAGCTTATTGGGGGTCCCTATAAGGTTATAGCTTTTTTGGGTCTTTATTGGGGTCTCCTTATTCTGGGGAAGCTACCAGGTCACTAGGGCATTTTCTAGTAGGGCTTTTGAACAACTTAAACATGCATGTTGGGCTGAGCAGGGGAATGTGCTCCAGACCCCTTTCAATCTGATGCGTGTGTCAGAAGAGGGAAGCCAACACACAATGCTCTAAGCCCTACCTGAAAACCTAAACTTGAAACCTCAAACTCCAAACCCCAAAACCTTAAACCCTGAGTCCCAAACCTCAAAAACCTGAACCCGAGAAGCCATTGGTAGAGTTGTGGTGTTCCAGCTGCTCTGGGGCCGTGGAGGTGGGGCGACGGTCAGTTTGGTACATGGAGGGTCAGGCGGACTTAATAAGTATTTAGGGTTAAGGGTTCAGGGCTGAGGGAATGGACAATGAATCGGAGACAGTGTTTATAAACAGCATTTTAGGGCTTGGAGTTTTCCTAAACCCAGAACCCTAACCCCCAGACCCAAACCCTAAATTCTGAGTTCTGAAAGCAGACAGTCTGGACGTTAAACGCAGGCAGGAACAGAGTAGCGCAGCATTCCTTTGAGGGGTGTGTACATATCCCTACCCAGACCCCTGGTAGGATCTAAAAATTATGTCCCCTATATAGACCCATTATAACCCCTATATAATTCTTATATAATTTCCCATATGGTTCTAGGGATCTAATTTTTAGATCCCTTTGGGGGTCTGGGTATAGCCCCTTCAATTAGGACATAAGGCTACCCGTATCTTTCATCCTTGGAAGGATGGCCCCAAAAATAGGTCACGATCCGCTTAGGTAGACTCTACGGCCCTAAGGTAAGCAGATACATCACTCGAGAGAGATGGAGGGAGAGAGATATGTATATATATATATATACGGTTTAGGGTTTAAAATATCTCTACAATATATCTGTATACTTGTATGTATGTATATATACATACATACGCACAAAGGGTGTGCATTAGGTGCATAGCGACCCCAGGACGCAGGGCCCGTAGTACTTCCCTGGGGTTCAATAAACCCTAGACCCTAGACCTCAGACCCCAAACCCTAAACCCCAAACCTTAAACCAAAACCCTATACCCTTAAACCTTATAAACCCTAAACCCTAAACCTTCAACCTACCCAAGAATCATGCCAGCAAAGGTGACTACACTGGCTTGAAGCTGTCTGTGGCGGAGTGCAAGTCACTTCTGCGACGGCGGGGCGTGAATGGGCTACCGCATATCACGGAATCCAGGCAGAAAGGGTTTAGGGTTTAAGCAGCTTTAACCCAGCTCTTTCAGGGTTTAGGGTTAAGGGTTATAACTGGGACCCCGATTCTTAAGCCTTTAGAGCCATATCAGGGGACTAGGAAGTTTATCCTTGGGTTATAGGTGCAGTTCTACTTGGCTTAGGACTAATGTAGACCCTGATTACTAAACCCCCCCTTTTAAGGGCCTGAATATTAGGATCCCTATTATAATCCCTATTAAGGGGAGGGGATTTATTTATCATTTAGGGTTTAGGGCTCCAGATACCCAATTATTTGATACTTCGGTTTAGGATGCAGGGCAGCAGTCATCTAGCAGAGGTTTTAGGGCAAATATATGATTGTTAGGTATTTGGACCCTTAGGTAAGGGTATGTAAGGGATCTAGTAATCTCTTCCGACTGCGTCCCCTTCAGGAGATTATAGGGATTTGTATGGTTTAGGGTTCAAGATTTGAAGGAACAAATAAGTGGCCAAATGGAAATTATGATTTAACGTTTAGGGCTTGGAGTTTAGCGTTTTGGAATGAACCCTGAACACCAGGAGCTAAACAGTGGTTCGGAAGTTTCTCAAGAAAACCAAGCCCTAAACCCAGAAGGTTTGGTAGAGCCTCAGATGGATAGCTCCCCAAAGTAGGGTCGCAGTTTGGTACCCCTGAAGTTGGGGTGTCGTAATATAATCTACAACCAAAAGGGCGACATAATTTGCGAACAACCCATATATCGCGTTCCCAGCGGTCTGGTATTGTACTTTTTCTGTCCGTTGGGGCAGAGCAGCTGGCAACCGACAGTTGATGACGACATCATCCTAAGTATACCCCACTCTATTTTGAGGTAAGGGAAGGAAGGTCACGGTTCCAGTCGGTTTGGTTTGTAATGAGCCTATCCCCGCACGAACGTGTTGACCGGTTCGAGATGGTTCGATTCGGGTTGTCAGCAGGCGGCCTAGATAGCATCTACGAAGTAGTGGAATGCTACAAGGTTGGATGTTTGAGTCCCCAGTGGTCTGTATGTATGTCTGTATGTATGCATTTCTGTATGTAGGTATGTATGTATGTACGTATGTATGTGGACGCTATAGCAGAACAGGTACCCCCCCCCCCAAAAAAAAAATCGTAGAAGCCTCTGGTTAAGGAGAAAGCAGAATTACTCCACGCGCTTCACGAGACGAATCCGCACGTTGCGGGACTGACCTGGGGGGATTCCGAAAACGGGTGGAAGGCGCTTGTTGCTTTTTTGGGGTGATACAGGATAATAGAGGCATCTCTTGTGTCATCTCTCAGGATGCTTCACTTGAACTTTAGATAGCCTACCTCATCCTACCTCCAACTGTTCGCCAAGTCAGGGTATTTATCACCTGTTACGACTACTAGCTACCCATGAACATCATGCAGGAAATCATCTTCCAAAACTCGCACCTACACCCTAAACCCCAACCCAGTTCAAGGCCCCTGTCACTACTCTTTAGTTGATGGAGTACGCTGAGCATATCCAGAGCGTTGCAAGATCTAGAAAAGAACGAGCGCTTCCAAGAACTGGGCTTAGAGCCTAGGGTTTACGGGATCATACAGCCTGATGAGGAATGTACTTGCATAGTCCAATTATACGGGGAAGGCACCGTTGTCAAATTTTTATACAACAGCAGGAATTTCAAACCCAAAGCCCTAAGCCCTCATCACTTGGGAGGACAGGATTACTATATCGATGTCTTAGGAAGCATTCGAGGGATGTTCTTCCTAGATTAAGGTGTCGGGCTTCAGGCTTACATATCTAGTAGAATGGCCACAATCCCAAAGGGTCCATGTAGGTATATGGTATATACTTAGGGCCCAAAAGGGTTCCCATATACCTACTGTAAGGCCCAAGTATATACCATAGCTTTGGGAATAACTCGGAAAAATTACGTCTGGCTGCCCAAGCCGCCAACCCTAGACCCTGGAGTTTAGGGTGGTTTAGGGTTTAGGGTTTAATTAGGGTTCCCTAAACCCTGAGGCCTGTAGCTTCAACCCCAGACTTCCTAACCTCAACTTCACCAGCTTTAACGCCGTGCAACCAACTACACACCTGCGCGCCCTAAACCCTAGACCTTAAGCCCTAGACTGGGTGGAGACTCAATCCCCGTAAGCCTAATGAAGCTCTGAAAGGCCTAAAGCTTGAAATGCCAAGAACCCCCCAAAACCTTAAAAACAAAAGGCCGCTGAATCGAAGGCTCTAACCATGGGACCCGTGCAGACTTGTTCCTTTCCCAGCTTTGGGCTGCATAGGGTTGATAAGGGGCATATGAGCTATAGTCTAAACTCCTTAAAGGGGGTTATAAGAGGGATTGTATAGGGGACTACTATAGGGGTAATTAAGGGAGATACTAGGGGTTTAGACTATAGCTAATATGAGCTACAGTCTAAACTTCTTCAAGAGGTTTAGATAGGGGAGTGTTATAGGGTCACTATAAAAGGGGTTCTAGGAGTTATCAGTATAGCTCACATGACCCGTGTTTTTGCTTCAAGGTCTTCCTGGCTGGACTCCAGTTTTTGTTGGCCCTCGCCAATCTTCCAGAGGGACCGGATTTGACCTTCTATTCATTCATTCATCATTAACTGATTCATTCATTCATTCATTCGTTCATTCGTTCATTCCCGCTTCACAGCCAGTAAGACCGTACCTGATAGTGTTTTTGAAGTGCCTTAGAAGTCACCTCTAAAGATATGGCACAGACCCCGCAGAAAGGGAAAGACATGCAGGGTCCAGGCCAACCCCCACATCCTGAACCCTAACTGATAAACTTTACTTGGGTTGTTCTCCAAGTTGTGGGCCTCTTTGGGTTATAGATGATATTACGGCACCTAATATTTTGGGTTAACAAAATCGGACCATAATTTGGGGAACTACCCATATGTATCTTGAGTTCTAGAAGTCGAATTTGGTTTGGCTACAACTTTGTAATAAAGCGCTTGACTGCAAGAGGAGCAAGGCGCAAAGCTGCGACAATACCCTGCAAGTGGTGCCTTGGCACGTTTAGGATTTGGAGTTTAAGGCTCGGGCTTAGGGTTTAGGGGTGTGAGAATTGAGGTTTAAGGTTTAAGATTTAAGGTTGGAGTGTAGATTTCCATAAACTAATTCTATATAATTCTATAAACCCACTCATTTGTAGCTTTATGAGTTCTACCTCTTCATTAGGCGGTGATCGCTACTCAGCTGTAGGTAGTTGAGATTACGGGTAGTGGGTAGAGACCCAAATTCTGATCCCGGGTTTTAGGTGTTAAGGGGCTAAACCCTAAACCCACACTCCAACCCCCTTGCAAACCCAACACCATATGTCATCCGGATCCACCTAGCCCAAAGTAGATAATCTTTATATAGCTTAGCTCAATGTGGGCTGTAGTCTAAATTCCTTAAAGGGGTTTATATAGGGATTATATAAAGGAGTATTTTCGGGGTTATTAAGGCGGATACAGGGAGTTTAGACTAGGGCTCAACATAGAATCGGAGCTTAAAGGCCTTATACCTAAACCCTAGGCCCTAGATCCTTAGCGCTACGGTGGATACTAACACTCCTACATGACCCTAAGTACATTATATTGGGAATTACGGTACTATAGTATATTAAGTATCAACAGTAGCACAGCAAAAAGAAAACACAAGCATCGTTCCCAATGTTTGGGGTCCAGTGTAGACCTGCAGGCCGACGACCCTACAAAGCGGTGGTCTTGCAAGTACTTTGTATGTTATATGATCCTTAATCCTTTGGGTTTTTAGGGTTTAGGGTTTTATAAAGCCACCAAATTTGACTTTTTTATAGGGTCCTTAAACCACCTGAAGCACTAAGGCTGTAGAGCCGTCAGTTCGGACCCCAAAACCCCTGGCGATTTAGGGGCTTCGGGGTTTACGGGTTCAGGGTTTAGGGTGCTGGTAGGGAACGGAGGATCTACCAGGACGTGTTTGGAATGACAAGCAGACTTCGGCAAAAAACCGATCCTAGAATCCCATTGAGGGCACTAGAAATCGGGTATGCGGTTTACTGGGTGGCTGTTAATTTCAGGAATTAAAAGTTGCTAGACTACTATAATAAGGAAGCCCCATTATTCACTAAACCATTTTTATCGTGAATATGCTTAAGTTCCTTACCAGCAACCCAGTTTAGGGTGAGGGGTTCACGGGCTCAGGCTCATGGTGCCATTATTGTAGTGTTTGTCGATGCCAAAAAATCCCTCTTGTTGAGCCTATTTGCCGAATTGAGAAGTATGTAGCTCTTCGTTTGAAAAAGCTCCACGTGTGCCCGGTAAGGGCCTTCTGCAAGGCAATGCAACTAAGACTCCTTGAACAAGAGCATGGACGCCTCAAATGGGGGTGACCCCAAATATGGAGTACTTTAAAGGGGTCCCTAGGATAAGGATTCTCGTAGTTTTGGGTCTATACTGGCGGCCCCCTATTTTGGGGAAACTACCAAATAGATTTACGACACACATTTCTTAGTAGAACTCTGTATCATGTCCACTGCTTGAACAGGACCTCCTCTTTGTATCTCCTAATAGGCACAAATCATCTGCAGCTAAACTCTAAAGCCAATATAACCCCTATCGAACCGCGGTGTCCAGTTTAGTCTCTTTTTCTTTTCCACTTGATTCTCCACTAGGGGGCCCTCAACCCTAAAGCCCTAAAGCCTAAACCCTAAACCCCAAAAGTATGTAAAATAATAGCCCTAAACCCCTAATAATAGCCATAAGGCCATTATTTTACATACTTATGGG